GGGTGAGAAGGGGTGTGGGGGGGTTGGGGTCAGTAGGGAGGGCAGAGATGTGGCTCTTGGGGGGTGGTTTGGGGGTCACGGAGAGGACTGGGATGGACCAGGGTCACTCAGGATACTGGGATGGCCCTGGGGTCACTCAGGATCCCGGGACAGCCCTGGGGTCACTCAGGATCCCTGGGGTCACTCAGGATCCCGGGACAGCCCTGGGGTCACTCAGGATCCCAGGACAGCCCTGGGGTCACTCAGGATGCCTGGGGTCATCCCTGGGGTCACTCAGGATCCCAGGACAGCCCTGGGGTCACTCAGAATCCCTGGGGTCACTCAGGATCCCAGGACAGCCCTGGGGTCACTCAGAATCCCTGGGGTCACTCAGGATCCCAGGACAGCCCTGGGGTCACTCAGGATCCCTGGGGTCACTCAGGATCCCGGGACAGCCCTGGGGTCACTCAGAATCCCTGGGGTCACTCAGGATCCCAGGACAGCCCTGGGGTCACTCAGGATCCCTGGGGTCACTCAGGATCCCTGGGATAACCCTGGGGTCACTCAGGATCCCTGGGGTCACTCAAGATCCCAGGATGCCCCTGAGGTCACTCAGGATCTCGGGGTGGCCCCATGGTCACTCAGGACTCTCAGGTGTCCCCCGCTAGGTCCCTCAAGTGTCCCCCAGCACCCTGGGATGACCCAAAAGGACCCTCCCAAAACCCTCAAGTGTCCCAAAACACCCAGAGGGACCCTCAGGACCTCTGAGGTGCCCCCCAAACACCCAGAAGAACTAGAAGAACCCTCAGGACCCTCAGGGTGGCCCCCAAACACCCAGAGGGACCCCCAGGACCCCCGGGGTGCCCCCCAAACACCCAGAGGGACCCCCAGGACCCCCGGGGTGCCCCCAGCCCCACCTCATGAACTGGCTGAAGGCCTTGTAGTTGGTGAGGGTGTGATAATCCTCCTCGGTGAACACGTGGTCCACGTCCTCCAGCCCCCAGGCCCCCAAGAGCTGCGCCGAGGATTTCTGCTCCACCGCCTGCTCGGGGACACGGGGACAGCAGGGGGACACGAGGGACACGGGGGGACACAGGGGGACGGACCAGGACAGGGAGAAACACCAGGAACAGGGAGGAGGAGAAGGAAACACGTCACCTTTTGGGACCTCTGAAGGTCCCCACGTGGGTGATGGGACCCCCGTGGGCACCCAAGGGGTTTTGGGACCACCGCAGGGACCCTCAGAGTGACAGAACCCCCATGAGGACCCCCCACAGGTGTTGGGACCCCCATGAGGACCCCACACAGGTGTTGGGACCCCCATGAATACCCCAAACAAGTGTTGAGACCCCCATGAGGACCCCACGCAGTGACAGAACCCCACAGGTATCAGGACCCCCATGAGAACCCCCCCAGGTGCTGGGGCCCCCCCAGAACCCCCATTTCCCCGCACAGGGCAGGACAGGGGGTGCCCCCAGTGCCCCCCAGGCCGGGATGCCCCCCAGGCCGTACCTTGACCTTCTGCCCCCCCTCATCATCGGCCTTTTTCCGCCTCTTGGTTTTCTTCTCCTTCTTCTCGCGGTGCTTCCGCCGCCGCTTCCGCGCCGCGCCGCCCGAGTCGCTGCCGCCGCTCTCCGACTTCTCCCGGTACTCCTCCCGGGGGTACTCGTCCCTCTCCGACTCCAGCTCATCCTCGCTCACCTGGGCACCCCAAAAACACCCCAAAACTGTCACTGACCCTGAGACCCCCACTTTGGTCACCCTGAGAGCCCTCCCTTTGGTCACCCTGAGAGCCCTGAACCACTCCCGGTACTCCTCACGAGGGTACTCGTCCCTCTCCGACTCCAGCTCATCCTCGCTCACCTGGGCACCCCAAAAACACCCCAAAAACACCTCAAAACAACCTGTCAGTGATCCCAAACAGCCCCTCTGGTCACCCTGAGAGCCCTGAACCACACCAGGACCCTCTGAACCACTCCTGGTACTCCTCACGAGGGTACTCGTCCCTCTCCAACTCCAGCTCATCCTCACTCACCTGGGCACCCCAAAAACACCCCAAAACACCCCAAAACTGTCACTGACCCTGAGACCCTCCCTCAGTCACACCAGGACCCTGCTGGGCACCCTCAGAGACCCATCAGTCATCCCAGAGACCCCCATCACCTGTCCCCAGACCCTGTGACCTGTCTCTGACCCCATCCACTGTCCCCAGACCCTGTCCCCTGTCCCTGACCCCACCCACTGTCCCCAGACCCTGTCACCTGTCTCTGACCCCATCTCCTGTCCCCAGACCCTGTCCCCTGTCCCTGATCCCACCCACTGTCCCCAGACCCTGTCCCTGTCCCCACCCACTGTCCCCTGACGTGTCACCTGTCCCTGAGCCCAGCAGCACCCACCAGTTTTTTCCGTTTCCGGGGTTTTCCGGGTTTGTTTTCCTTCTGTTTCCGTGGGCCCCTTTTCTTCTTCTTCACCCCCAGGGCCCCCTCGAGGCCCCGCAGCAGATCCTCGTCACCATCTGTGGGGACACGGTGGCATCAGCCATGGGGACGGGGACAGGACGGGGACAGGACAGGGACAGGATGGGGACAGGGGCAGGGAGAGGATGGGACAGAGATGGGGACAGGGGCAGGGGGAGGTTGGGGACAGGGACAAGGGCAGGATGAGAACAGGGACACGACGGGGACAAGGATGAGGACAGGGACAAGGGCAGGATGGGGATAGAATGGGGATAGGGACAGGGGACAGCAGTGTCACTGTCACAGTGACCAAACACTGCTGTCACCGTGACAGTGACTGACTGATAGCAGAGCATTCCCCAACCCTCACGTGGGGACAGCAGCATCACTGTGACAGTGACCAAACACCGGTGTCACCGTGACAGTGACTGATGGACGGCAGAGGATTCCCAAACAGCTCAGCCCAGGGGACAGCAGTGCCACTGTGACAGTGACCAAACGATGGCAGAGCAATCCCCAGCTCTCACTCTGGGGACAGCAGTGACACTGTGACAGTGACCAGGAGACGGCAGAGGATTCCCCAACTCACGTGGGGACAGTGGTGCCACCGTGACAGTGACCAAACACCAGCAGAGCATTCCCCAGCTCTCACCCTGGGGACACCAGTGACACTGTGACACTGACCAAGCACTGGTGACGCTGTGACAGTGACCGAGAGATGGCACAGGATTCCCTGACCCTCATGTGGGGACAACAGTGACACTGTGACACTGACCAAGCACTGGTGCCACCGTGACAGTGACCAAACACCAGCAGAGCATTCCCCAGCTCTCACTGTGGGGACAGCGGTGTCACCAGGACAGTGACTGATGGATGGCAGAGGATTCCCAAACGGCTCAGCCTAGGGGACAGCAGTGACACTGTGACAGTGACCAAGCACCGGTGACACTGTGACAGTGACCAGGAGATGGCAGAGGATTTCCCAGCCATTGGGCCCAGGGGACAGCAGTGACACTGTGACAGTGACCAAGAGATGGCAGAGGATTCCCTGACCCTCACATGGGGACAGCAGTGTCACCGTGACAGTGACCAAACACCAGCAGAGCATTCCCCAGCTCTCACTCTGGGGACAGCGGTGTCACCAGCCGCCAGCAGAGGATTCCCCAACCCCTCACATGGGGACACCGGTGTCACGGTGACGGTGACCAACCGCCAGCAGAGGATTTCCCAAGCCCTTGGCCGAGGGCCACCGGCATCCCCGTGTGACAGGGGCCACCGCGCATTCCCGCGGCCCGTTGTCCCCGGGGCGGTGACACCGCATCCGTGTCACGGCCCCGGCTGTCCCCGCCGCTCTGGCAGCCGCCCGGGGTGACGCCGGCGACAGAGAGGTGTCACATCTGCCAGCCGCTGGCACGGCCCCCGCCCGACGCGTGCCCGTCCCCCGCGGGTCCCCCGCGCTGTCTGACACTGTGACAGTGACCAGGAGATGGCAGAGGATTTCCCAGCCATTGGGCCCAGGGGACAGCAGTGTCACTGTGACAGTGACCAAATGATGGCAGAGCATTCCCCAGCTCTCGCTCTGGGGACACCGGTGACACTGTGACAGTGACCGAGAGACAGCAGAGGATTCCCCAACTCACGTGGGGACAGTGGTGCCACCGTGACAGTGACCAAACACCAGCAGAGCATTCCCCAGCTCTCACCTTGGGGACACCGGTGACATTGTCACACTGACCAAGCACTGGTGACACTGTGACAGTGACCGAGAGATGGCAGAGGATTCCCTGACCCTCATGTGGGGACAACAGTGACACTGTGACACTGACCAAGCACTGGTGCCACCGTGACAGTGACCAAACACCAGCAGAGCATTCCCCAGCTCTCACTCTGGGGACAGCGGTGTCACCAGGACAGTGACTGATGGACGGCAGAGGATTCCCAAACGGCTCAGCCTAGGGGACAGCAGTGACACTGTGACAGTGACCAAGCACTGGTGACACTGTGACAGTGACCAGGAGATGGCAGAGGATTTCCCAGCCATTGGGCCCAGGGGACAGCAGTGTCACTGTGACAGTGACCAAATGATGGCAGAGCATTCCCCAGCTCTCGCTCTGGGGACACCGGTGACACTGTGACAGTGACCGAGAGACAGCAGAGGATTCCCCAACTCACGTGGGGACAGTGGTGCCACCGTGACAGTGACCAAACACCAGCAGAGCATTCCCCAGCTCTCACCTTGGGGACACCGGTGACATTGTCACACTGACCAAGCACTGGTGACACTGTGACAGTGACCGAGAGATGGCAGAGGATTCCCTGACCCTCATGTGGGGACAACAGTGACACTGTGACACTGACCAAGCACTGGTGCCACCGTGACAGTGACCAAACACCAGCAGAGCATTCCCCAGCTCTCACTCTGGGGACAGCGGTGTCACCAGGACAGTGACTGATGGATGGCAGAGGATTCCCAAACGGCTCAGCCTAGGGGACAGCAGTGACACTGTGACAGTGACCAAGCACCGGTGACACTGTGACAATGACCAGGAGATGGCAGAGGATTCCCCGACCCTCACATGGGGACAGCAGTGTCACTGTGACAGCAGAGGATTTCCCAGCCATTGGGCCCAGGGGACAGCAGTGACACTGTGACAGTGACCAAGAGATGGCAGAGGATTCCCTGACCCTCACATGGGGACAGCAGTGTCACCGTGACAGTGACCAAACACCAGCAGAGCATTCCCCAGCTCTCACTCTGGGGACAGCGGTGTCACCAGCCGCCAGCAGAGGATTCCCCAACCCCTCACATGGGGACACCGGTGTCACGGTGACGGTGACCAACCGCCAGCAGAGGATTTCCCAAGCCCTTGGCCGAGGGCCACCGGCATCCCCGTGTGACAGGGGCCACCGCGCATTCCCGCGGCCCGTTGTCCCCGGGGCGGTGACACCGCATCCGTGTCACGGCCCCGGCTGTCCCCGCCGCTCTGGCAGCCGCCCGGGGTGACGCCGGCGACAGAGAGGTGTCACATCTGCCAGCCGCTGGCACGGCCCCCGCCCGACGCGTGCCCGTCCCCCGCGGGTCCCCCGCGCTGTCACCCGTAAATCACCCCGAGGGTGTCCCCAGGGACACACACACACACACACACACACACACACGGGGGGGTGACAGCGGGTGCCAAGCTTGGCGTGGGGACAGGAAGCAACACCCGGCGCCGCCGGGGTCACATTCCAGCCTAATCCCTTGGCACCGCCGCCTGCCAGCCCCGGGCGGCCGGGCCGGGCGCCGGGACCACCGGCAGCGCCGCCCCCGCGGGGGCGAACACCCCAAAATCTCCTTTTTTCCGCCCGTTTTTTACCATGGCGGCAGCGCCGAGGCCCAGCCCGCCCTGTTCCCCCCCCTCCCTCACCGGCTCCTCGCTTTCCAAATTCCCCTTTTCGCTGGTTTTTCAACCCAAACCATCACCTGGGGGTGTTGCCGGGGACACGCGGCCGCTGGCGGGGATGGGGCCGAGCCCCTGCGGGCCCGATCCTGCCATTTTTGGGGTGTTTTCCCCCCTTTTCACCCCCCAAATCCAACCCCCCCCCGGCCCCATCGGACATGCGCGGGGAGCCGGGGCGCGTTGGCAAAGCATCAACCAGAATTTTCCACACACGTGACGCTCCCACTCCCCGCACCTCGAGAAAAAGGGGAAAAAAAAACCGAAAAAACACCAAAAAACCCCCGCCCGGAGAAGGGAGGGCCGCGATCCTAAAGTAAACCCCCCCCCCCGAGTGGATGAGAGGAGAGAGAAATGAGGGGAAAATGGTGGAAATTGCAAATGAAACGGTGAAAGGAGGGGGGGGGATAGGTGGAAAAATGGAAAAAATGTAGCAAAAACCACAATAAAAAAAAAGCAAAAAAAAAAAAAAAAAAAAAGGGGGGGGGATTCCGGCAAAGGGGGGGAGGGGG